ACCACAAGCACAAGAGGACTCTCACACCTTCGCAATAAACTTCTAATGCTTGAGCAATGTCACTGCTTAGTGTCCTGGCTACTTACTGTTTCTTGGCATTGCAAAACCTGCACAATACTTAGCAGGATTCTTTCCAGTTAAGTTTATAAGAAAAATGCTACTTGCCCTATTCTCTTCTGCAGTAGCTGCACGACACCATTTCCAAGGAATTTGTTGTACTCCACAAATAATACACCTATGAGTATATTCATTCCTGACTAATTCTTTGAGTCAGTCCTTCAGAATGCCTCCCTTTTCTAAAACTAGTTCTAAAACTAGGTTTTCCATCAGTTTTTGGAGATGAGCAGACCTGCCATGAAGAAACTGCTGAGCTTTCCAAGGAATTGTGCACACATTTTCTTGCTGGGGAAAGGCAGAAACCTTAGGCACCAGAGGCAATTCACAGCTTAGAGCAGAGACATACTCTACCAACTGAAATGGAATGCGTTTTGTCTCTGGGGTAACACTGGTTTATGAAAAACAATGGTTTGTGACAAAGTATTTTAAAATCTCTATTTAATGAATTCACTTAATGCTGTCAAGTACAAATAGGAACAGGTAAGGCAGAAACCGGGAACAGGACACCCACAGAGACATTCAGAAGCTTCTTAATGCAGATGAGAATACAGGAAACAGGAATATGAACATGGTGAAAGAGAACTCCAACCTTTAAAACACGATGGCTTAACAGACAATTACAGAAATTTAATCTGTTTAGGATCTATTCTTGTAATGAACTTTGAGCCAGGATAGTGAAAATTCAGATTTGATCCATTTGTTAGTTATAAGCTAACGTTTTATTATGGCAACGTGGCTTCAAAGCTTCTTTGGCGTCAAGCAGTTGCAGACTTTGATTCCAAACACAGCAAGTTTAAAGGCTTCTGCAGTAACACCTTAAAAATGGACAGGTCTACTGAGACCTTTGGTCAAGTGTATTCACTGATTAACTAAGAACTGCTTTACCAGCTGGGTGGTGTTTTAAAGCATGTTTAGTACCTGTAACTTCACACCCACCTGTATTGCACAACTGAAACGGAACAGGAACTTAATGAACTAACTATACAGAATTAAACAGAACATTTAGCTCTTCAGTCACAGCACACAGAATGGTGGAGGCTGGCAGGGACCTCTGGAGGTCATCTTGTCCAGCCTCCCTGCTCAAGAGGGGTCAAAACAGAACAGTTTCACGTGGTCTGCCTTAGCACATCTACTATGGCTAAGCTTCAGAGGAAAGCTTTGCTTGGTCTGCCTGCAGGACAGCAGGACACCATCCGAGAGAATGTGATGCTGTTCTATAGCATCCCACAGGTGAAGTATTATTCCTAATTATGCTCCTTATGAGCTAAAAGTTGCCACTACACACACCACTAAAACTCTTGATAGCTTTTTAACTGTACTGTTCAAAAGATACAGAACATAATGAGTCTTACTCCTCCTTTCTGCAATTACTTTTTGCTTGACCTGAAGACTCTTTACCTGACCACAAAGGCCTGGCTGCAGCACTGAACACCGGCATTATTTACAGATACTCCTGAAAGAGGTTTGAGATCCAAAACTAAACCCAGCTACAGCCCATGAGGACTTTATGTTAATATTTAAGCCCAAGTGATGGTTGATGCTATAGGAGTAAATTCAAGCACTCATTTCAATAAGGCCTAAACCAGATGAAAATTAGCTCTGCTTTACTAATGTTGCCACTGATGTTCAACTTTGCATTTCACCATGGTCATCGTGTGTCAGCATTCAAGTCCTACTGAATGGAGTCTTTTTTCCTTTAAACAGAAATATTGTCGAGTACCCTGAAGCAAAAACTAAGGAGAATCACCAGTTTCGGTTTTATCCCGTCATCACTTTAACTTGTGAAAGAACCAAAACAACAGACTGTGATGACAAAAGGAAGAGCTTAATTCAGAAGCAGGCAGGTACCACTCATGCATGGGATTCTTCTTTGTTCTTTCTCACTCTCTCTTTACATTAGGTGAAATGTCAATTCCAAAAATGCACAAATGATTCCAGGAGACTGCTCTTTTCAGCTTTTTTTCTTTTTGAAATGAGCCATCTCCCATCAAGGGGATTCCCACTCACCACTGACTTTTGCCCATGCTGGGGTCAGCACTTGTATTTAGCCACAAGATTCAGACTAGAAATACTGCAAAGCAAAGGGCAGACCAAGCACAGGCACCAGGCTGCCAGAGTAATCAATGGAAGAAACCAAGACAAATCAAGAGACTGTCACTATAAATGCAAATACCCTCTGAATGTCAATTCCAGCAAAAGCAAGAGCACTCCCTCCCATCCTCCTGCTCTTATTTCCACATGTGATGAATGTCTGGTGTGCATGTGATGTTTGGAACTAATTTCAGGGTACGTGCCTGTACTTTTCAGCTCTGTGTCACTGCACTGTGACTAGCTGCAAACTACATGATAGAGTGCATCTGCTCATCACTAGAAGAAATACAGAAGAAAAGCATACCTTGTCCCACAAGGCACATTTTTCACTTCATCAGTCTGCAAGGTGGTCTGAAATAAAAAAAGACAACCACTGCTCACCAAACCACTCCATTCTGCAGGAAAATCACAGTGCCCAGACTCCCACAACTATTACATGGGAATGTAACGCCCAAAACACATCCTCTGCCTCCCTCCTGACTCTTGCAGGTGTGGGCATACAACAGACTTTTTCCAACTGCCTTTTGGGAAACAGAAAGGCAGCTGTGCTCATTTCCCTGCTCTTGGCTACTGTGGCACTAAGGCCTGCAGCCCTCCCAGGAAACAATTATGGCCACAAACACAGCCTGTCCTCACAGAGCAAGACATCTCTCCCAAGCCACACACATGCACGTGGTGGAGATCCCATCAAAATGACAAGTACCAGCACACAGCTGGGTCTAGCACCTAAGGCAGAGGGAATCAAGGGCTTCCTAGGAGCTGCTACTCCAACTACCACGTTACCAAGCCCCCCTGCAAACATCAGCTGCCCAAGTCACTCTCATCCAGCATTATCCCTATCAGCGTTCTCTCCCACTCTCCCTCTTCCAAGGTGAAAAGGCACAAACCTGCACAGATTTGAAGGTGGTAATGAATGGGAGCATGATGTGGTAGCCTGGGCCACTCGGACTAGTTAGCAATGCACCACCCCTAGAGAAAGGAAAACAAGGAAAAGGCTCAAGCAATTGGAAAACAGCAAGTGCTGGCTTTGAGAGTGAGCACATTCCAACTGTCAGGAGCCACAGCTGTAGTAGTGCAAATGACATCACTCACCTGCACCAAATCTACCACCACTTCTCCTACAAAGGGGCTGACTGCATGTGATACTTGCCTGCTGCAACAACTCAGCCATCATTTGCTCCAGGCTTGTGAGCAATTAACTTTCAGAGAAGCCAAATATTGCTGAATTCTTCCATAACCGCAACATTGCAGAAAGCTTCAAAAACACAGCTTTTTTCCTCTCTAAATAGTTCACCAGAAACCATGGAAAAATCCAGCAGTTGATGCAGTGCTGCCAGTTTCAATCTCCCCAGTGCATTTGGCACAGTCTCTTACCCAAAGCACAACACAGAGGTGACAGCCCTTGATGCAAGAGGGAGATCAACAGATGTGAAAAGCTTGGATGGACTAAAAGCTCTGGTCCTCTAACCATTAAAATCCAAACTGTGACCCAGAAAAGGGAAGGAAAAGAATTCAGAAAGCCCAGAACTCGTAACAGCTTTGTACAGAAACACGCCACCTGGGCCCACGTTGTGCGAGAGCAGAAACAACAGCGTCTGCCCACCTCGGAGCAAAACCTGGAGGGAAACACAGGGGAGAGCAGCACTCCGAGGGGATCTGGGGCCAGGAATGAACCCCAGTCGAGAAGGAGAAACTTATGGCAGGCTACAGAAGCTGCCGAGGCGCTGGCAGGCGGCAGTACCTGTAATACACGGCCAGGTGCCCCTCCTCAACCTTGTGGATAGAGGAGTACAGGAAGAAGACGAGGAGTCCCGTGGCAGCTGCAACTACGGCTCCAGCCT